TCCTCTGCATCGGCAGGCGGACTCTCAACCACTGCGCCACCAGGGAAGCCCGTGAGACTTTCTTAAATCGGGCGGAGATTCATCTTCCCATGACCTCCATACATGGCTCTAGTCCTGCCTTTTGGGGTCACGCATGAGATCTACAGCCCCTCTCCTGACAGCCTTTTGCATCACGTGAGAAAGGATCACATCCTAACTGAGGCTTTTTCTTTGATCAAAAAGACCCCAGTTTCCTATAGAATTTTTTAAAATCCATGAATTCATAGTGATCGAAACAAATAATTGAACAAAAAAAATACTGGGCAAGTCAAATAGCCTCTCTGCAGCTCAGGTTTCTTATTTACGAAGGTGAAATCTCCCTACCCATGTATACTGAAGAAAGCCGTCGTGAGGCTTCATAAAATGTCACAAGTGGTGGTCATTGTTACTAAGATGCTGACTCAGAACCAGTCACCGTCAACCTTCCTCCAAAGGATTTCATACAGTCCCCACAATCCAGTATGAATTGTAATGAAGAAGAGATTAAAATAATATTGTACCTTTTGCAAAACCCCACACAAATGTCCAAGGCAGAGACTCCCAAGGCCACTGCAACCAGAAATCGAGAGAGAAAACTACTTTGTTCGGTGGTGGCTGTTAGAGGAGAAATTATGGACACCCCTTCCCAGGACTCTAGAAACTACTGGTGACTCGCTGTGGTCACCCCCCTCCTTTAACCAATCACGTATCACTGTCGTTCTGATGAAGCCTCCTCCACTTAAAACAAGGATTCCCACTCTTCACTGGATGAGGAACAGATGACCTAACCTCTGCTACAGGGATTTCTCCTCCTCTGCCCAAAACTCACCCCAAAAAAGGAGGGAGTAGAGTGAAAAGGGTTCAGAAAAACTGGTGTGGTTGTTAATAGGATTCTTGTTATTATTACTCCTAACAATTATTATTATTACTATTATAATAAATATTGTAATAATTATTATTATTATTACTCCTAACAATAATCCCACTGGATAACATTGTCCAAGTATTTTCACATATTTCTCTCCTGTGACCGCCCCCCCAGTAACCAGCAAGGGTAGGAAAGCAGTTATTTTATTGTCCTCTCTTGGCTAAGGTGAATTAAGTGATTTCCCGTGGTCACACAGGAAATTAGTGACATAGGTGCAACTGGAAACCAGTTGCTCTGGTCCTGGTGCCACCTCTGTGCTCGGTCGAAAATGGAACCCATAAGAAAAAATCTTATGGCAAACATCTCTCCTGAAGTGCTAGGTGCCATTTATCCCCTTCTAAAGTGTCTGCAAGGTCCCTCGCACACACTTACTGGACGTCTCTGAAGACCACAGTCACACGGTAGTTGTTTTGAACTTCGATGTCCCACACACACTTGGCATCGTTCGGATACTCCCCAGGGAAGGATGGGCTGAAAAAGCTCCCTGAAGGTTGGGACAGGAAGCCTCCGCAGGAATAATTTGCTGTTGGGATAAAATGGAAATACTGATGACCCACAATGCACACTGCACCGTCACCTGGGGGAGATTTTTTTAACAATTCCCAAGACAGAAACCCACCAGGCGGTGCCTAGACCCAAGCTACACACTGATGGTCAGTGGGGCGCCCCTCCACAGAGACTGCACTTGGGGAAAACATCTCCCCACCATTCTCCTCATCCCTCCCCGGTGTCCCTGTCACTGAGGAGAAGGGAAAGGGGACTTGTCAGGGAGCTCAGAACTTACTGGCTGGGCGGGTGAGGTTGTAAACAGGATCTGTTGACAAAGAGAAAACATAATGATCAGTTCCCTGGTACCCTTGACACAACTGTTGAGTCCTTGCTGGCTCTGTGCCTGGAAATGTGCCAACCCTGGGTTCACAGTGAATGCTGGATAGAGGCCTTGCTCTCAGGGACCACACAGCCTGCAGGAGAGGATGGAAAAAAGCAAATCCCAGTGTCATGGGCTGGGACTGTGATGGAGCAAAGCCCAGGAGATGGTGGGAGCCTGGAGCTTTGGCTCCTGACCCAGACTGAGCAGGGAAAGGGGGGTAGATTATCAGGGAGGCAAGGCAGAAAGGGAGAAAGGGTGTTCCAGGCAGAGAGAACAGTGTGTGCCAAGGAACCTAGGTGTACCTGGCACATTTGGGGAACCTCAGTGTGTATGCAGCAGGGACAGGAGGGATGGCGGGAACTAGCCAGACAACAGGAGAGAATTGTGCAGAGCCCTAGAGGTTGTCCTGAGCAGTGAGGATCTGTGACCAGAAGGCCCTGAGGAATCAGTCCCCGAGACTGGGACTGACCTTGGCATCTTTTGAAGATGCCCCTAGCTGCACTGCAGAGAATGGATCAGAGGGGAGGGGCGGCCGGAAGCTGCTGCTGCTTCAGGAAGCCAGGTGGTGAAGAGGGGAGGGTGGGGACGGAGAGGAAAGATCTCAGGGGTGGAGGGAGAGGGGGAGCTCAGCAGCAGCTCAAGGGCAGCCGGTCAGGAGCTCTTGCTGATTACACACCGAGCTCGGAGATGAAGCGGCTGCAGCCAGCCAGCACTGACCGCAGTCTAGTGTCCAAGGGGAGGGGTGGGATCTACACGGGGGAGGGGGGCAGCCTCGCCTAGGGACTGACCAGAGATCTGAATCTTAGGCTGGCCAGGCTACTAAAGGGCAAAGAGGAGCCTAAAGAGAGGCCCAGCCCTCCTGGGGTTGGGACATCAGCTGCAGGCGATGCCACGTGCCAGAAAAGGCAGGAGAGGCAAACTCTTTGGAGAGCGAGCACTGTGACTGCAGCTCGGGGACCAGCAGCCAAGGCTGGAGAGAAGGAGCCCGTGCCCTCTCAGTCAGGTGGAGAAATATGATATTTATTCTGAGTGGTTGCAGTTGATGGGTGCCACCAATCTAGAAAGAAAATGAAGTGATTTTAGGATATTGCTGGATCATTTTTTAATTCCATGGTCATCAGTTTGATGGAGAAAATAAATCCTTTTCCTTACTGCAGGACTTCTCAGAGCCTTGACCATTCCAATTTAACACTGTGACTGGCCAAAAAGGGTCGGAGTATATAGCACTTCCCAACATATTTAGCACCAGATATTTTCTCTGTATCATAAAGATCATTTGAGGGATTGCTCTCAACGTGCAGCATTCTTTAACAGACAAACGTTCGTAGGAGTGTTCCTCGGCCATGTTTTTAGCATGGTCACAGTTCTCTATGGAATGACTACGAGTTATTTTCATTGGAAACAACCAGAAAACCAAACCTCTTCCCCCACAGCGTCTCTGAATGAGCGCTGGCAGCAAGCGGTGGCAGACCAGAGGGGCCCTCCAGCCAGAGATGAGTAACAGCCATAGTTTGGGGGACTCAGCTTATCACTAAAACGGATTCCAGAGTCCTCAGAGGGAAAGCACCCCATAGGAGGAGGCTGCTCTTCTATTTCTGGAAACCCGTGAGGGTAGAATTCCGGAGAGGAGTCTTGGGTTGGGCGGCAGTGACTCACCAGCGGTAGTAGGGTAGGTTTCTGGGCCTGCAAGAAAGAGGAAACGGGATTAGCCTCAGCACCCAGTATGTGCTGAAACACACCCAGCGGGTTCCTGAGAGAGACATGCTGAATGCCTGGCCCCTACCCTCCAGGGCATGAGAAGGGCGGCCTGGGAGTTGTCCAGGAGAGCTGAATAGCAAACCTCAAACTCAGATATCAGTCTCCACAATAAAAACGGTGTTTGGGGAATTTGTCGTTGCAACCTGTACTCACCCTTTTCTGGCCTGGTGGGCCACTAAGGAAGGTACTACACCAGACCCAAGAAATTCAGGGACCAAGGTATATGGTTGATGCATTCAGGGAAACTGCCCATCCTTCAGGGAAGTTCAGTGTGAGAGGAGCCAAGAACAAACAGCCTTTTTCTGGGGAAAACCACACTAAAATTGAACCTCAATGACTTGGGAGCCAAGCTGAGCAGATGACACTGGCGGCCACGTGGTGCCCACAGCTGTGGGAGTTCCAACTGCTGTGGGAACTGCTCTGCAGGCACCCAGACTGAGGGATCCAGGCACCCAACATCACCTATTTCCAACGTCAAGGTGATTAGCTCTGTGTCTAGATGACCGAGTGGACCCAGACCAGTCATCAGCCTCACAAAATTCATGGGCCCACTGAGGCACCAAGACTGAGGGGTCCAGTTCGAAGTCCAAATCCCATGTGTGATCTATCAGGCCGGACCGTAGGTGATGACAAGGCTGTGCCCAGCAGGCCACACAGGGTCCACCGCCCTGCACACGGCAGGGCTGCTGCCCAGATGGTGCATCCCAGTTCCCTGGAGGGGCTACCGTCCCGGACTCAGGAACCAAACCCTGGGCCACCTGCAGTCCTCGGCCATGAACTCAATTCAGAGACCTCATGACAGAACTAGCCTCTTTTGCCTCTGGCTTGCACTGTGGCAGGAGAAAAAGGACTTCAAGTCACTTTCAGTTTGGTTCTTTGTTCTCATTCACCAGCTACATGCCTGGCAGCTTGTCAAAGAGCTCATACTAATCCTTAGCAGAGAGACAAGGTGATGTAAGGAATCGAGAAATGTAGAAAATGCTTTGAGAGGGGATCAGAGTGTCAGAAGGAAACCACTCCCCCAGTGCGGGACCCCAGCTTATTCGAGACCAACCTGAGCAGATGACACCGGCGTCCTCGCCGTGCCCACAGTTGTGTGAGTTCCAGCCCCTGTGAGGGCAGCTCCACAGGTAGCTCTCGTGCCCCGAGCAGCTCACGTCGTCCAGGACGATCGGCCCTGAGCCCTGACCGTACCGGGCACTTCCAGGGGCCGACGTGGCCCAGCCACAGCCCAGTTGCCTGCAGACCACGTTGGCATCGTTGGTGTCCCAGCTGTCGTCACACACGGTGCCCCAGGAGCCTCGGTACAGGACCTCCACCCGGCCCCGACACCTGTCACCTCCATTCACCAGCCTCAGGGCCAATCCTGATTCAGTTCCTGGAAGGAGATGGGAAAATGCACTCTCCTGTGTCTTCCGGAGGAAGAGGTCCTGAGGACCGAACGCAATTCAGAATCCTTCCAGGGAAAGACTTCTGAGTTCAAGGTAATATTTTCCTTCCGGAGGACCTGACTGAGCCCGGTCATCATCATTTATCCCCACGGGGATATTCGATAGAACCCTTGGCTGTGGACAGAGGAACGCATGTTCTCTGATGGGTTCCCCACAAGGCCCAGGAATTCAGTGGCTGATCTCAGCCTTGGGAAGGAGGTGGGAAGAGGGGAGGCCCACAGCCTGAATCCCCAGGGACCACTGGGATGAGCTTGAGCCCTTGCTCCTTCCAAGACCCTGCCAAGGGGCCACCTTCAGATGTTCACTCCCACATGGGAACCCACTCCATCAGGCCAAAGGTTATTCTAAACACTACTTTTCGCTGAGCACTCACTCATGTGATTTTCAAACTCCATAGTTAACCTGACTCTTGAACCAGCCATGCACCCACTGAAAATTTTCAGAGCATATGGACATGATAAGGGACAAGGCATCTATTGGTAGCAGGCTGTTCAGAGTCCTTCCAGGGCTTGTCAGCCCAAGGGCTAGAAAAAACACATACTCTCTCCTCTCCGGGGCTGCAGACCAGTGGCTAACAACTGCCCCTTGGCAGGACGCAAGCTGACGGTGACGTCCATAAACATAAGACAATAGAGGTACTAAAAGTACAAAGGAAAAGCTGTACTGGAACTTCTGGATCCAGCTCTACCTGAAGACCGTCCTACCTCTTAGCTAAGGAAGTCATCGCGGCACTCACTCCCACCCCCAACTCAAGAGAGTGTGAGCTGGGATCTGGTCACTTGGCAACCAAAGCATTCTGGGTAATGTATGCCACAACTGGAAGGTGACGGTTCTCCACAACTCTGGCACGCGAAAGGAACCCCCCACGTTAGATGAGGCTGTGAGCTCAGAGGCTCAAAGCAAGAGTCAGGAATAGCACCCAGGCCTGATGAGTGGAGTGTTTTGCAGGATCCAAGTGACGCTTACCATCGGCAGGGGTTGTGGGCATCCACCAGCCTGAAGGAAAAGCACAGCAGGATTAGAGACGTGTCTACAGTCAGGGTTGCTCTAGGGAGCTATCACTCACATCAGAGAAAGTGGAGTCTGAGACTCTCCACTGCCTGGGGGAGGAATAGGCCTTTTCTGAGAGCTTGCCGTGAGCCAGATCATGCCCTCCAATGTCCACGGCATGGCGATGAGGCGCCCCACTCCACAGGAGCAATTAGCACGCTCTCTGGACTGAATGCTCTCTGGGGAAAGTATCCCTTTTGGACTCCTCGGTGGGGTGTGACCCGAAACAGCCCCGTTCTCCCTGCACACATAACTCTCGGTCTAGACAATGCTTTCAGGCAGAAATGACGCCAGGACAGGCCTCCCTATCAACCAAAGCTCTGGGGAGACACTGTGTAGCCACAATGCCCTTAAATCGCTGAGGCAGACCCGAGGACCCTCGTGCTATGGCCCCTCTGGAAGCGTCTGCTCGCTCTAGAGTGACCAGGGCAGGTACTGAGAGGTGGCAAACGTCCACTCGCTCCACCTGGGGCTCCTGGTTGGAGTCTGCGGAAGTGAGTGGGGAGGGAGGGGACACCCCGGAGTCAAGAGGCACAGGACTCACCTGGCAGGAGCGTGGACTGGGGCCTGGCAGCTGGGAGAGAGAGAAGGCATATCAGACACCTTGCACAGAAGGGGCACCACAGGGGCAATGGGGGACGGCGCTTAACAGGTGAGACGCTCAGTCCATGCCTGAGCCCTGCCACGCAAGGTGGGACCTGTGGCATCCTCACCCCCCAAAGAGGCTCCTCCTGAGAGGTCCAGGCAGCCCAGCATCCTTTATTTCCAGTGTCAAGCTGATTAGCTTAGTGTCTAGATGCCCGAGTGGACCCACACCAGTCATCAGCCTCACAGCATTTATGGGCGCACTGAGGCAGCAGCACTGATGGGTCCAGGTTCAAGTAAAATCCCGTGTGTGATCCGTCAGGCCCGAGCGTCAGTGATGACAAGGCTGTGCCAGGCATGCCACACAGGGTCCACTGCGCTGCACATGGCGGACCTGCTGCCCAGACAGTGCATCCCAGTTCCCTGGAGGCGCTACCGTCCCGGACTCAGGAACCAAATCTTGGGCCACCTGCAGTCCTAGGCTATGACCTCCATTCAGAGACCTCATGACAGAACTAGCTTCTTTTGCCTCTGGCTTGCACTGTGGCAGGAGAAAAAGGACTTCAAGTCACTTTCAGTTTGGTTCTTTGTTCTCATTCACCAGCTACATGCCTGGCAGCTTGTCAAAGAGCTCATACTAATCCTTAGCAGAGAGACAAGGTGATGTAAGGAATCGAGAAATGTAGAAAATGCTTTGAAAGGGGATCAGAGTGTCAGAAGGAAACGACTCCCCAGAGATGGACACCTAGGTTATTTGAGACCAACCTGCACAGACGACACTGGCGTCCTCGCTGTGTCTACAGTTGTGTGTGTTCCAGGGGTTGTGAGGGCAGCTCCACAGGTAGCTCTCATGCCCCGAGCAGCCCACGTCATCCAGGACGATCGGCCCTGAGCCCTGACCATACTGGGCATTTCCAGGGGCTGACATGGCCCAGCCACAGCCCAGCTGCCTGCAAACCACGTTGGCATCATTGGTGTCCCAGCTGTCGTCGCACACGGTGCCCCAGGAGCCTCGGTACAGGACCTCCACCCGGCCCTGACACCTGTCACCTCCATTCACCAGCCTCAGGGCCAATCCTGATTCAGTTCCTGGAAGGAGACGGGAAAATGCACTCTCCTGTGTCTTCCGGAGGAAGAGGTCCTGAGGACCGAAAGCGATTCAGAATCCTTCCAGGGAAAGACTTCTGAGTTCAAGGTAATGGTTTCCTTCCGGAGGACTTGACTGAGCCAGGTCATCATCATTTATCCCCACGGGGCTGTTTGATAGAACACTTGGCTGTGGACAGAGGAACGCATGTTCTCTGATGGGTTCCCCACAAGGCCCAGGAATTCAGTGGCTGATCCCAGCCTTGGGAAGGAGGTGGGAAAAGGAGAAGCCCACAGCCTGAATCCCCAGGGACCACTAGGATGAGCTTGAGCCCCTGCAGCAGGAGCCCACCAGAGACAGCTTCCCAGACCCCAACAAGGAGCCACCTTCAGATGTTCACTCAGACAAGGGAACCCACTCCATCAGATCCGCGGTTATTCTGAAGACTACTTTTCTGCTGAGCACACACTCATGTCTTTTTTCCTTTTTTTTTTTTGCGTTATGAGGGCCTCTCACTGTTGTGGCCTCCCCCATTGCGGAGCACAGGCTCCGGACGCGCAGGCTCAGCGGCCATGGCTCAGCGGCCCAGCCGCTCCACGGCACGTGGGATCCTCCCGGACCGGGGCACGAACCCGTGTCCTCTGCATCGACAGGCGGACTCTCAACCACTGGGCCACCAGGGAAGCCCACTCATGTCATTTTTAAACCCCAAACTTATGGTGACTCTTGAACAAGCCGTGCACCCGCTGAAAATCATCAGAGCACATGGACATCATTACGGAGAAGGCATCTATTGGTAGCAGGCTGTTCAGAGGCCTTCCAGGGCTTGTCAGCCCAAGAGCTAGAAAAAACACATACTCTCTCCCCTCCTGGGCTGCAGACCAGTGGCTAACAACTGCCCCTTGGCAGGAAGGAAGCTGACAGTGACGTCCATAAACATTAGAAAACAGGGGGAATGAAAGTGCAGGGGAAAAGCTGTACTGGAACTTCTGGATCCAGCTCTACCTGAAGACCGTCCTACCATTGACCTATGGAAGTCATTGCGGCCCACACTCCCACCCCCAACTCAAGAGAGTGTGAGTTGGGATCCTGTCACTTGGCAACAAAAGCATTCTGAGTAATGTATGCCACAACTGGGAAACGAAGTTTCGCCATAACTCTGGCACGCGAAAGGAACCCACCACATTAGATGAGGTGGTGAGCTCAGAGCCTCAAACCCAGAGTCAAGAATTGCACCCAGGCCTGATGAGTGGAGTGTTTTGCAGGATCCAAGTGATGCTTACCATCGGCAGGGGTTGTGGGCGTCCACCAGCCTGAAGGAAAAGCACAGCAGGATTAGTGACGTGCCTACAGTCAGGGTTGCTCTAGTGACCTATCACTCACATCAGGGAAAGTGGGGTCTGAGACTCTCCACTGCCTGGGGGAGGAATAGGCCTTTTCTGAGAGCTTGCCGTGAGCCAGATCATGCCCTCCAATGTCCACGGCATGGCGATGAGGCGCCCCACTCCACAGGAGCAATTAGCACGCTCTCCTGACTGAATGCTCTCTGGGGAAAGTATCCCTTTTGGACTCCGTGGGGGGCTGGGACCCGAAACAGCCCCGTTCTCCCTGCACACATAACTCTCGGTCTAGACAATGCTTTCAGGCAGAAATGACGCCAGGACAGGCCTCCCTATCAACCAAAGTTCTGGGGAGACACTGTGTAGCCACAATGCCCTTAAATCGCTGAGGCAGACCCGAGGACCCTCGTGCTATGGCCCCTCTGGAAGCGTCTGCTCGCTCTAGAGTGACCAGGGCAGGTACTGAGAGGTGGCAAACGTCCACTCGCTCCACCTGGGGCTCCTGGTTGGAGTCTGCGGAAGTGAGTGGGGAGGGAGGGGACACCCCGGAGTCAAGAGGCACAGGACTCACCTGGCAGGAGCGTGGACTGGGGCCTGGCAGCTGGGAGAGAGAGAAGGCATATCAGACACCTTGCACAGAAGGGGCACCACAGGGGCAATGGGGGACGGCGCTTAACAGGTGAGACGCTCAGTCCATGCCTGAGCCCTGCCACGCGGGGTGGGACCTCTGGCATCCTCACCCCCCAAAGAGGCTCCTCCTGAGAGGTCCAGGCAGCCCAGCATCCCTTATTTCCAGTGTCACGGTTATTAGCTCTGTGTCTAGATGCCCGAGTGGACCCACACCAGTCATCAGCCTCACAGCATTTATGGGCGCACTGAGGCAGCAGCACTGATGGGTCCAGGTTCAAGTTAAATCCCGTGTGTGATCCGTCAGGCCCGAGCGTAAGTGATGACAAGGCTGTGCCAGGCATGCCACACAGGGTCCACTGCGCTGCACATGGCGGACCTGCTGCCCAGACAGTGCATCCCAGTTCCCTGGAGGGGCTACCGTCCCGGACTCAGGAACCAAACCCTGGGCCACCTGCAGTCCTAGGCCATGACCTCCATTCAGAGACCTCATGACAGAACTAGCCTCTTTTGCCTCTGGCTTGCACTGTGGCAGGAGAAAAAGGGCTTCAAGTCACTTTCAGTTTGGTTCTTTGTTCCAGTTCACCAGCTACATGCCTGGCAGCTTGTCAAAGAGCTCATACTAATCCTTAGCAGAGAGACAAGGTGATGTAAGGAAGCGAGAAATGTAGAAAATGCTTTGAGAGGGGAACAGAGTGTCAGAAGGAAACCACTCCCCCAGTGCGGGACCCCCAGCTTATTCGAGACCAACCTGAGCAGATGACACCGGCGTCCTCGCCGTGCCCACAGTTGTGTGAGTTCCAGCCCCTGTGAGGGCAGCTCCACAGGTAGCTCTCGTGCCCCGAGCAGCTCACGTCGTCCAGGACGATCGGCCCTGAGCCCTGACCGTACCGGGCACTTCCAGGGGCCGACGTGGCCCAGCCACAGCCCAGTTGCCTGCAGACCACGTTGGCATCGTTGGTGTCCCAGCTGTCGTCACACACGGTGCCCCAGGAGCCTCGGTACAGGACCTCCACCCGGCCCCGACACCTGTCACCTCCATTCACCAGCCTCAGGGCCAATCCTGATTCAGTTCCTGGAAGGAGATGGAAAAATGCACTCTCCTGTGTCTTCCGGAGGAAGAGGTCCTGAGGACCGAACGCGATTCAGAATCCTTCCAGGGAAAGACTTCTGAGTTCAAGGAAATTGTTTCCTTCCGGAGGACTTGACTGAGCCCGGTCATCATCATTTATCCCCACGGGGATAT